CCACAAAAAACTATGAATGCCAGCCATGAAAGCCTACGACTTCACATAGGTCAGGAAAGCTTAGCATAAGTAGACACAATTTGAAACTTCTAAAGTGTCCGGGAAAGCTGCCAACACGTGGCTGATAAAGACAGGGGCCTCTTCCAAGACAACAATCCAGTTGCAAGTGACGCACCACTGTTTGCTTGCAGCAGGCAACCAACAAGTCCAGAGTTCCGAAAGGCAGGTCCAGAGAGCAATCCAAGGTTCAGGGTTATCACGAGCAGGTAGTCCAGAGCCGTTCCAAAGGTCACAGGGTATAAGCAGTCTAAAGTCAAGCCAAGAGCTTTCACTGGGGAATCCAAGATAAGCCTTGACAGAGAGCTTGGCTTTTCCCAGCTGCTCATCTAGCCTCAGCTCCTCTCCCCCAGGTGTTTCTCTTTAGCTGTGCATTTCTCAGCTAACCTTCAAGAACACCGCAGCCCCTCCCTATCTGAAAGGTAGGGATTTCAATCTCTTGCTCCTCTGCTTCTTCCTGGCCTGAAAACTCTGCTGGGGAAAGGCTTTCTGCTGGAGGAAGGCTAGGCTGCTGAGGCAGGGGCTGTTGCTCAATGGGTTCCACACAGCCAGGTCCAGGTTCAGCTTGGTCTATGGGGGCTGGTAGCACCAAGCTAGGATCAGGCCCCACATCCTCCCCCTCAGAGTTCTCCAAGTCCTCCACCTGGCTGTCCCTGACATAAAGACTGTTTGAAGACTACTTCAGAAATTGATCCAGGAATGGTGTTTTCTTTCACCTGCCTTCACTTTTCTTATGATTTTCATATTGGTGACCAAACTTAGGACGTTATCACACATGGGCCAGAAAGCAATAATAAAGTGGAAATGAGGCATTCCGAAAATAAACTGAAAATAAACCTTGATTCCGCAAATGGAATTACCTTAATTGCGAAATTAAAGTAAGTGCATTTAACGTTCACACACAAGCGAGAAAAGCCAGTAAATGTACTAGAAACGATCTTCTTGCACATGCGCAGATAGAGGAATGCTTGCTGTGGAACCATGGGAAAAGCAGGGAAATGCTCCCAAATGCACATTTGGCTATTACATTATAGTAAATGCAAAATTACCTTAATTGCGCATTTACATTTCCTCCAAACAACCAAATTTCAAAAGATCTCGGATAACACCAGTTTCTGTCCACTTTCTGTCCAGTTTCTGTGCGACGTCATGTGAAAATGGGCACTAATTGACTAATTGACTGTTGTAGGCAGGCACATAAAATCCCATTCTTCCCCAGCTCAAACTTTATTGCATTGTTTATTGCAGACACATTACTGCAACACAACAGTAGTGTGTGAATGTGTGTTTCTAGTCGCCCTTCACCATCCTCTCAATGCTTAAGTGGCTAAAATCCTTGCAGCTAGACAGAAGATGAGATGAGAAGAGGGGAACTGGGTAGGCATTGAAAGATGCTCATACTGACTTCTAAAATTAAAAATCATGACAGTAAAGATGATAAGGCAGTATGAAAAGAGGGAAGCCACACTAAAGGTGGATTGACTATATCAAGAAAGCCACAGCTTTGTGTTTATAAGATGTGAGCAGGGTAATTGATGACCAGGGCCCTTGGAAGTCTCTCATTCATAGGGTCACCATAAGCTCAAGTCAACTTGGTAGCAAATAACAATAACGCTGGATAGCAGACTAGAGGTACCACCACCCTTGATACTGGAGTCAACAATTAGCATTGAGCTAGTCTTAATTTTGGAGTAAATTCACTGAGACTCAGGGCCTTTGCAGACTGCTAGAAATAGTGCAAATTGAGTCCACTTTAAGGGTTAGGGTTAAGGAATCATGGGAACTGTATTTTATTGTGGTACCTGAAGACTCAATGTCTCAGAAAAAACAACAACAATTTCCATGATTCCCTAGCACTAACCCTAACCCTAACCCTAAAAGTGGACTCAATTTGCACTATTTCTGGCAGTCTGCAACCCCCCTCAGTGAGTCAACTAGTTTTGGTTAACTTAAATCCCATGGGTTTCAGTGATTCCATTTTAGGCAAGATTTAAGTCTGGATCCAATTTTCTACACTTATGAAAACACCATGAAAGGATGATATCCTTTATCTCTATTTTTCAATTGTGAATTATGATTTTTAAGAGCAAGAAAATAATTCCCATTCAAATTCAAGACTGCTTAAATTTTCTGTCAATCCCTGTGCATGCATATTCTGTTGTCATTTGCTTTGAGCTGTGTGCATTTGTCTCAAATTGCACAAAAACTCTGCCTCCAAGAATAGCAATTATTGTATATTCTTTCAATATATTCTTGCTGTATTCTCACACTGCAACTCTTTTGTATTAAATAATCCTTTTTAAAAAAAATTTTTTGAATCTGCAAATTCCTGTAGTCTTGTCGAATTTTTAAAAACCTGTTTTTAGTCAAATCATCTTCCACAATCTCACCATTTCTACAATATCAAATGCACACTCAAGTCTCATCGTATCCCACGATAATGTGGCCTGGAATAAAATATTTGTGAACAGGAAATATATATATTGTGTATGACTGTAAAAACTTCTCTACTGGTTCCCATGAGAAATTATTGTTGTGGCACAAAAATAGGCTGTTGACCAGTATCCTGAATCATAAAATGTAGCTAATTTTATACCACACATTTTAGGGAATGGGCAATGGATGCTTCGGTAAACAGAAAGCTTTTCATTGAAGGGAAAGTGTGTGCTTCCTTTTTCTTTTTCTTTTCCAATTTCTTTGTTCCTTTCACTGTTTTACTGCTTGTTCTTTGCTAATGACTCACTTCCTTGCACCCGGGCTGCTGATCTGTGCTGATTATTACATATTTGACACCTGCTACTGCTTTTCATACATTCCTTTGGTGCCAGGAGTTTGGCATGTCAACTTGCTAGAAGGACAAAAGCTTGATAATGCTGGCTTCAAACTTGGCATTTTGGGCTGGAACCAAATTGCTCACATTCAGCCAATTCTTTATAGCCTTTGGAAGCTGGTGGGACAAATGTAGCTTGCCAAATGAGCTCAGTGCTGTCAGATTTGGGAGGCTAAGCAGAATAGAATCAGGAGAGGTGGTATGATGGGGCATGGCATAGAGATGTGAGTGCTAATGCCATTGTGGATCTCCATTTCTTGGAAGATGGAGCTTGGAAGACTTTTGTTGTTGTTAATAATAATAATAATAAATTTTATTTTTATACCACCCATTGGTAGTCCAATCTGGGCAGTTTACAGCATAAAAATTAGCATACAACATAAAACAACATTTTCCCTCCCCCCCCTTAAAACGTTACTAAACCACATTATAATTAAAACCATTTAGCAATATAAAACCAAACATTAAAATTAAAACAATACAATCATAACAACCCCTGTGACTTTCTTCCAAGAAAACAGGGGTTCTAGAATAATAATACAGAACTTGTTAACTGCCCTTGGGTCGATCTCAACTCATGGTGGCTCTATGGATGAGACATTTCCAAGACCCTCTGTCCTCCACTGCTCTGCATAATTCCTTCAACCTCATACCTGTGACCTCCTTAATAGAGTCCACCCATCTGGCATGTGGCTTCCTCTCTTTCTACTTCCCTCCACCTTTCACAGCATTATTGTTTTTTCCAAAGAATCCTCTCTTCTCATGATGTGTCTGAAGTATGACAGTCTCAGGGGTGAAGCAGACGGCTAAAAGGGCCGTCTTGGGGGCAAGGAAGGGAGGGGCAGCCGCACGGTGGGCGCCCCAACTCCTTCCCGAGGTCATCATTGGAGCGCCGGCCCCTCCACATGGCCGGTGCTCCAACAATGACTTCCCGCCGCAGTGTTCACACACGCTGCGGCAGAAGAGTCGCCGAAGGTGCACCACCAACCTTTTGCGGCGCAACTTCGGCGGCTTGTGGAAGGAGCGCTATTTTAGCACTCTTTCCAGGGGAGGCAAAGCTGCGCTGTGGGGCGGAGGTGTGGGGATACCTCGGCCCAGCGGCGCAGCTTCCCGGGGTGGCCCATGGCCTCCTGTCTGCTTAGCCCCTCAGTTTGGTCTTGGCTTCCAGGGAAGTTTCCAGCTTGATCTCTCTAGGACCCATTTGTTTGTCCTTTTGGCTGTCCATGGGATTCTCAGCATTCTTCTCCAGCACCACATCTCAAATGCATTGATTTTCTTCCTATCATCTTTCTTAACTGTCCAGCTCTCACATCCCATACATGCTAATAGGGAATACAATGTTTTGTATGTTTCTAACTTTTGTGCTGAGTTGCATATCATTGCATTTTAGAATCTTTTCTAGTTCTTTCATAGCCACCCTCCCTATTCTCAAAGTCTTCTTTTGATTTCCTGACTGCAGTCGCCATTACTATTTCTGAAAACTTGCTCTTCAGAATTATAACTCTCAAAATCCCCCATCTGGGGAACTGTAATCCAGAAAAGTAACTTTTCCAAGCTATGATTGTAGGATGGATCAAAGGGACACATTTCACTCCAAGATCCCGAACCCCCCCCCCCCCCCCCCCCCCCCCCCCCCCCCCCCCCATAATTTTAGCAGCATGTTTTACTCTATTTGCCATGCCATTCAGTTTCAGGGAAGCAGCAATCATTTAAGAAACACACATCAGGATGTTGGTTTTTAATTAATAAAAAAGCTGACATTGCTAAAAAAACCCCCAAACACCTCACCTTTAACTTATGAGTTTGCTCAAATTCAGAAAAATCATTAATACGCTTTTGCCTGGAAATGAGAGCTGTTTATTAAATGTATATGTGGGAGAGCCCCAGTGAAATTTCACATTAGCCCAGACTTTAACAGATGACTTTAAGGAAGGGGGAGTAACCTGGGAGAGCCAGTGTGGTGTAGTGGTTTGAGTGTTGGACTACAGCCCTGGGGACAAGGGTTCAAATTCCTTCTCAGCCATGGATACCCACTGGCCTCAAGCAAATCATATTCTCTCAGCCTCAGAGGAAACTCCTTCTGAACAAATCTTGGCAAGAAAACCCTGTGATATGGTTGCCATAAGTCAGAAATTATTTTAAGATACACAACAACAAATTAACAACAACAACAAATGCAATCTGGTCTCTTCTAGATGTTTTGGATGAAAATGCATAGAATCCTCTATGACTGGCCATGCCAGCTGAGGATCATGGAAGTTGAAGTTCAAAATAGCTGGAGAACATTAGATTGCATATCTCTGTCTTAAGGTTTCAAAACTGTTGATCTAGACACTATACTTCTATTGATGCAGCCTAGAATCACATTGGCCTTTTTAATTCCCGCATCACACTGTTGAGTCATGTTCAACTTGCAGTCTACTAGGACTCCTATATCCCTTTCACATGTAGTCCTGTTAAGCCAGGTGTCCCCAATCCTGTATCTATGCATTTAATTTTTTCTACCTAAGTAGAAAACATTTCTACTGCATTTCTTACAGTTGAAATTCATATTGTTAGATTTGGCCCAGATTTCTAATCTATTAAGATCACTTTGAATTTTGATCCTCTCCTCTGGGGTATTAGCCTCTCCTCCTAATTTGGTGTCATTTGCAAAATTGATAAGTATGCCCCCTGTTCTTTCATCCAAGTCATTGATAAAGATGTTGAATAGCACTGGGCCAGGACAGAACCCTGTGGCACCCCACTGGTCACTTTCCAGGATGAAGAGCAGCCATTGTTGAACACCCTTTGGGTCCAGCCGGTCAACCAATTACAAATCAATGTAACAGTTGCCTTGTCTGGCCCACATTTTACAAGCTTGTTTGCCAGAATGTCATGGGGAACTTTGTCAAAGGCCTTACTGAAATCAAGATATGCTATATCCACAGCATTCCCTTCATCTACAAAGCTGGTAATTTTATCCGAGAGAGAGAGAGAGAGAGCAGATTAGTCTGACATGACTTGTTTCTCTGAAACCCATGTTGACTTTT